GTTTTTTCCCCGGATGAGATTCCCTAGAAAGGGTATCTTTTGGGGTTTTTTGTTTTGGGCCGATTTGGTGAGGGAATTAGTGATTTTTACCTGTTACGGAGTAGCCTTTTTAGGGGGGCCTACTAGGAGGGGTTTTCCGGGATTTTGGGGAAAAGTGAAAAGGGACTCGGAGGGGGCCGCCATTTGTTTGGGGGTTTTCCCTTTTTGGGCCTTTCCAGGGGTTTTCCCCTTTAGGGGTTTTCCTTTCCATAAAGGGGGAAAACAGGGGAGTAGGCCTTTTTAGTAGGGGGGTTTTAAGGAGGGCCCAAAAAGGGTTTTTTTTGGCCCCCCCTTACCAGGAGGGGCCTTTCCATGGTTAGGGTATAGGATGGGGGGGTTTTTTCAAGGAGAGGCCTTGGGGGAAAATTCCTATATCCATTTTTGGCTTTAGGGGACTTTGGACCGACCGTGTTTGGATCCGGGGGGGGGGGGAAACAGGGGGCCCTTTTCCGGAGGAGGGGGGAAGGGGGGAAAAGGATTAATTGCTAGTTTGGCCGGGGCAGCAGGAGTCCGGGAATTTTTTTTCCCTTTGGGGGAACCCCCCCCCCGTGGGGGGGAAAAATTTAATTTTTTTTTCCCCCCCAAAAAGGGTCGACAAACCTTTTGGAAAAAGGAATGGGAAGGGGGGGTTTTGCCGAAATACTTCACCGGGGCCTTATAAAAAGGGGGTTTAAAAATTTTAAAAATTTTTCCCAAGGGGTTTAATTTTGAAAAAACCCCCAAAGGGAAAATAAAAAACCGTGATATTTTTTCTCCATAGAAGGGGTCAAAAACTTTTTTGGTTTTTTTTTTTTTCCCCCCTTTAAAAAAATTTGAAAAAAATTTCAGGAAAGGGGGAAAAAAAAAAAGGGGGGGGGAAAAAAATTTACCAAGAATTTTTTTTTAAAAAAGGGAAAAAGGGAAAGGAGTCGAAGCAAAAATGAGTAGGAATTTGGGGGCCCCCCAATTTTTTGGCGGTTTTTTTTGGTATTCATATAGGAAAGGGTGAAGTAGGTTGAACAAATGTAGGGGGGCCCATGGGGGAAAAGGGGGGGAAAAAGGCCCCCACGCCCTTGAAAAATGAGTTTTTTTTAAAGGGAGGGGGGTTTGGGTGCCAAAGCTTTTTAAAGAAAAATGCTACCATGAACACCACCCAAGAATTTTTAAAAAAAAAAGTGAAAGGGCATTTTAAAAAAAAGGGGTTGGAAGGGGGGGCCCGTTTTGGTTGGGGAGGAAAGACTGATCGGAGCATAGGAAACGGTGGATAGAAAAGTGGAGATGGGTAAGCAGATAGGGGGGGGGGAGTAAGGGAGCGAGGGGAGTACTCTCCAGTCCACTCGGGCGGTCCTCTCAATAGATGGCGCGAGAGTTTCAAGTCGGTGCGGTAGGGGAGCGGATCCCTTGTTTCTTCCTCGCAGTGTTGGGTAGTTTATGGATGATATCCAGCGGACACGTGGAAACGGTGAAAATATAATTTTCCTCCCATGACGGAGGAGGATGCGTGCTGATTCTCTGGCGACGGGTGTAGGAATCCGAACAGCGGCGCCCCCCCCGTTGGCTCGCCGATAGACATGCAAAAGTTCTACAGAGGACAGATGCAAAAACGATGAAGTAGGAATAAGGAGAAGGTAAAAAGCTGACAAGGGAGGCATAGGCCTTTGTTGCAACGTGTTTTCTTGCGTTTTAGGTGATGGTGATGTCGGGAAGCGAGGAGGGAGAAATGTAAGTGAAAGCGCAATGTAGGAGGGGAGTGTCGGAGAATGAGATAAGGGGCGGAAGGTGAATAAGTGATTCATATGAGGAGAATTGAGGGGATGACAGTAAGGATGGGACGGAACTGTGATCGCGAAAGCACAATTAAGAAATGGAATAAGATTAAGTGTGAGATGGCCCCACGGTCCGTACTTGGGTAGGGAGATGTGTAGGAATTTGCTTAGAATGAGAAAGTTTGGGGGTGGGGTTCTGTCACAGAGGCGGCTGGTAGACGCAAAAAATGCCCTAGCGCTATGAAACGAGGCGTCGACCCAAGGAAAAGGGTGAGAGATGGGGAGAACTGGCAGTGGGGTAAAGAAGGGGGCGCACTTAGGCGATATAGATTGGGGAGAAGAGGGGATCTGGGTGGAAAAGTGGGGGGGGGTAAAGGACGAGTTGGGGGTTTTGGGGTCTAGCTGGTTCGTTTTTTCAGTGATCTGGCTTGGTGGAGGTAGAAGTGAGGCGCGCCGTCACCTCCCAGTCCCCCTTGGTTTGATGCCCCGAACTCTCCACGCTAGCGTGGCTCCGCCTGGGGGGGAAGAAGCTGCGGAGCGCAATGAGGGGGAGACCGACTGATGGGGAGTATCTGTCGGAGCACAGGAGAAAAAAAATAACGCGTACACAGTGAGAACTGTGGAGGAGAGGAGGGAAAGAAAAGGAAAGTTAGATAGGAAGAATTGCTGGGGAGAGGATGTAGTGGAATAGAAGGATGGTTTTTAAGGATTGGGCTGTGTAGTGTGGGTCCGTGGGTAATTAGGGTTGCTGAGTCTCGGAGGGCCCTCAGGGCTGTCTCCCACCCCCACACGTCCACCTCTCCTTGTCCCCTCTGAGCCCTCATAACATTTTGAATACGGTTTTGATACTTTTTTGATGTAGCTGCAATAGAATACAGGTGTTAAGACGCTGTTCAGTTCCGACTGCATGGGCGCCATTAGCGCCATATCGCGGCAGAGCTCAGGTCAGCTGCATCAATGTGTAAGATCCTTTAGGATAGGAATAGTTCGTTGTATTCTTAGAAGTGCAAAATTTTTTATTTCAAAATGACAAAAAGGAAAAGCTTTAGCTAACACATCAAAACATTTTTTTAAATTATTTTTTAAATTATTTTTTAAATTTATTTTTTCGGAATGGATCAGCTTAATATTGCAGATAGATTGTATCTTCTATCAATGTAATTGTCTGCATCACTTCCAATCCCCCATGTTTTTTATTTATTTTCCCCTTTATTACTTTTCAACCCCACCATCCTTCCCTACTTGGAGTAAATTAGTGAACAACAACGCCCAGGGCCTCTACTTCCGGTCTATACTTACTATCTACACCTTATGGACAAAGTTAATTTTACAATAATTCTATATATATATATATATTTATTTATTTATTTTTTTGCTCCTGACAAGCTGAGCCCTCATAACATTTGAATACGGTTTGATACTTTTTTGATGTAGCTGCAATAGAATGCAGGTGTTAAGACGCTGTTCAGTTCCGACTGCATGGGCGCCATTAGCGCCATATTGCGGCAGAGCTCAGGTCAGCTGCATCAATGTGTAAGATCCTTTAGGATAGGAATAGTTCGTGTATTCTTAGAAGTGCAAAAAAATATATTTCAAAATGACAAAAAGGAAAAGCTTTAGCTAACACATAATTTTATTTATTTATTTTTTAACATTTTTTTATTATTATTATTATTATTATTTATTTTTTTGGAATGGATCAGCTTAATATTGCAGATAGATTGTATCTTCTATCAATGTAATTGTCTGCATCACTTCCAATCCCCCATGTTTTATTTTATTTTCCCCTTTATTACTTTTCAACCCCACCATCCTTTCCCTACTTGGAGTAAATTAGTGAACAGGACACGCCCAGTGCCTCTACTTCCGGTCTATACTTACTATCTACACCTTATGGACACAGTTAATTTTACAATAATTCTATATATATATATTTATTTATTTTTTTGCTCCTGAACTTCTTCTACTCTCAACCTCTCCGATCATTTTCATGATGTCCATCCGGTTTGCTTCTAAATGCCATATCTTTCTAACTGTGCTCTTTCCCAAAAGCTCCCCACATACAACCTATATACTTATTATGGACACAGTATGCTTACATTATTAGCTATCTTTGTTATTAGTTTGTTGTTATTTGTTATTAGTCCCATCCTTCAACTCTATTCAATACCTCCCATCTATCTCTTAACACCATCCATAGGATTTCTATTTGCCATATATATTTCAACCGTACTGTGGTGTTTTACAAAAGTTCTGAACCTTTCTATTCTCATTGCTTCTACAGATTGTGAATTAAAAATAAACATTTTTGCTAAAAGTATTATTATATTATTGATTGATTGACTATGACTTTTCAGATCACCCAGTAATGCTATCTGCAAGGTTAGCTCCAGGTAAATATTGCAATCCTTTAGCCATTCCTGGACCTGTGTCCAAAAACAAGCTACAAATGGACAGAACCAAAACAATGATCTAATGATTCTATCTCTTCACAGCAAAATCTGCAGAGCTGGAAGATTGTATCCCCCATATAAATAACATTCTATTGGTAGCAAGAATTTTATATAATAATTTAAATTGAAAGATTCAAATTTTTGAATCCGGTGTCGTTTTGCGTGTCAGTTCATAAACACTATGCCATGGGATCGGTACGTCAAAGATCTCTTCCCAACTATTTTGCAATCTATATGGGACGGCTGTCAATCCTTTGGTCCTTAAGGAAACTGATATACTTTTTTATTTATCACAGTTTTCCTTAACCAATTATGTTCTTTAATGCAAGGCCGACAGACAAGTTCCTTACTTCTCCCCCCTTCAACTTTCCTCTTCCACTTTTGCGGTAAGGCTGCAATTATTTGGTTGTAATTTTGGGTAGAGCAGACATTTCCATAGCTAACACATCATACTTGTGTTGTGTTCACTTTATAAATATATTTCGATGTGCTTTATGTTTGAAAATCTGGTTTAACAACATAGACGTACATGCAACGCTGAAACAAAAAATGTGTACTATGTATTTTAAGATATATATATTTAGGGTGATGTAGTATTACATATAGGCTGAGGTTTAGAGGCTCTCTGTACTGGTGGTAATGGATATGGACACCGCTGATATGGACACCGCTGATTGGACACCGCTGTGTGTTACAAACGGGACAGCTATAACTGTACATTTGTGATTGGTCATGTGCAGTTGAAGGACGGAGACAGTGATTCTCATTGGTCTTCTTGGTCGTTGTTGCAGTCTCCACACAGGATCTGGTCCCGGTCGGGGAAGAAGCCGGACCCAACCAGAGAGACGGAGCAGTGGGAACACTTGAAGCAGGGCTGGTGCCACTGCCGATCCTGGAAAGAAATGTACTTCCCCTCGCCAAACCCTGGAGGGAATAAAACACTCTTGTTAGCATCTATAGTAGCATACGTGGGCATCCCAAATGGCACCCTATATCCAGAATAGTGCACTACTTTTGACCAGAGCCCATGTCTACATAGAGAACTTTGACTCTCACCTGGATTGACAGGTGGGCAGTAAGAGAGACATTACTCAACTCAAAATTACATTCTTAACATGAAAGTTCTGTGGGTAATTCTATGGTTGGCTGCAATACCAGTTCTCTGTGTTCAATTGAAACACTGGCATTCTAAAACAGCCACAGGCTCTACCAGTATATTTCTAGTATGTCTGTGCTCTGGCATGCAGGGTGTCTTTGCCTGGGCTGGTACTTAGTCCCACAATGTAAGTGCAGTATTGAGAGACTAGGGTGCCATTTGGGTGTGTCCAATCAAGCCATATTATTTAGTCAAATGGAGAATCCATGACCTGTGATGGGCGAGTTGCAGGTGGCACACTTATGTGCGTAGAGGTTGCTGAAGCACTTGACGCAGTAGGGTGTGTCTCCCTGGGAGGTGAAGGGTTGGCCGGCCAGTGGGCTCTTGCAGCCCGTGCACACCAAACACTCCTTGTGCCACGTCTCGTCCTTGTAGCTCACACCCCCTGCCGCCAGCGCCTACGGAGGAAACATACCCATCAGCCTCACTGACTACATGGAAAGGGGGTTTTTAAACAAAATCCTAGCACTACTGTGGGGAACATAAAATAACAGGGGACGGGATAATGTTGATTCGAGGGACCCTGGTCCCCTTTTTTTTCATTTGGTTTGCATCGCGGGGCGAACCTGCCCCGTAGCAGGGAAACACAGTGTAGCGTCTTTGTGGGGATAAAGGGAACCGGGGCCCCCCGATGGGTTTTTTCTCACCACCCATGGCACACAACCCTTCCTCGGGGCCAGGCAAGCCCCCTTCTACTCCAACTTTTTTTGAGCCGGGTAAGAAAGAGAGAGAGGGGAAAAGAGAGAAAAGATGGAAGATAAAATAGAAGAAAATAAGGGAGAGAGGGGAAAAAAATTTTAGTTTTTTGTCAGGGTTTTTCCTTTTCTCTTTTCTACCTATCTCTCTCCCTTCTTTTAATTTTTCCTTCCCCTCTTTTTCCCTTCCTTCCCCCCCATCCTCCCAACCCCATTAAACATTTTTGGGGAACCACTTTACATTTCTCCTGGAATATGGGAAAAATTACAGACATTTTCCCACCTCCCAAAAAACCGGGGTTAGGGGACGCCCCACTTTTTCCCCTCTATTTTCCCCAAGAGCTGGTAGCCCCCTCCCCCAAACAAACCAGTGTGAAAGGGAAGGGACTGGGGGGGGATGCAAATTTTTGTATAAGCAAAACCCTAACTCACTCTTTTTAAATTAACCCAAAACGGCCCCCTTTTACATTTTTTTTTAAAAAATTTTAAAAGGGAAAATTTATCTCAACAAAAAAATGCCCCTCCTGTGTTCCAAAACCCCAAAAATATCCCCCCCCCATTAAACCCCCCTTTATTTTTAATAAAAGTTTTCTCCATCCTGGGGGGGAAAACCCTCATTTCCAGACCCGGAAACATTACTGGGTCTGTGCCCCTAAAGGGCCAAACTGAAACCAAACCTGACATAAATCGGCACCGGGGGACAAACCCCTACCCTACCTGGAGTGACCAGCTTTCCTTTTCCCCCATACCCCCCCCCGGGCAAAACCGACACAAACCAACTGAAAATATTAAATGCTAAGATGGAAAGAAAGTATTTTGAAACCTCCCAAAAAAAAATTTGGAAACCAAAAAATTAAAATCCCTTCAAAAAACAATTTCCTTTGGACAAAAGGGTAAAAACTTGGCAGAAAAAAACCTAAACTTATTTTGACCTCTCAGTTTTCCCTATCAAATCTAAAAACCCTTTTTAACAAAAACCAAAGAAAAAATTTCAAAAAACAGTGATAAAGGTTTTTGATAAAGGAATGCAAAAACCCAAAGAAGAAAAGAACCAAATCCAACCAAAACATAGAGCCCCCAAATTTTGGAACCCTCCGCCTTCACTAGTGAAATCATAAAACAATCAGAAAACACTAGGGGAAAAAGAAAAATCCAATGCCCAAAATAACCCCATGTAAGGGGGAAAAATCCATAGACCCCAAAACCACTTCGGGGAAAATTAAAAAACCCTAAACAAACAACAAAAAACTAGCTTCTATCCAAAACGGAGATGAGGGGTTTAAACCCCCCTTTTTCCAATCTTTTTGGCCCTATAACAAAGAACAAAAACAACCCAAAAAAAATAAGGGCAAATCAAATCTTAGAAACCCAAATATTAAAGGCAAACCCCAAAACCCCCTGGGTTCTCCAATTTTTCCTTGAAAGAACTTTCGGGAAAAAAATACCCAAAACCCCCACCCAAAAGGCCCTTTGGGGTTTATGGTATCCCATGAAAAAGATAAAATATAAAGACCAAAATTTTAATTAAAACTATATTAAACTCTTTAACATCATCCTTTGCTTTTGGCATCTTTCCCCCCCCATTTGGAACCAAGGAAATGAACCCCCAAACCCAAAAAATTTAGACAAATTTTACCCAATAATTAAAACCCGGGGATAAAAACGTCAACACAAACCCTTTGGGGAAAAACCCTCTGATTATCATTAACAGGGGACTATTTTATTTCCTTTTTTCCCCATTAAAACCCCCGGGCTGGGGCAAATGTCCAAAATTTGGGTTTTTTTTCCAAATTAAACCGTACACAAAACCCCCCTTTAAAACCAAACCCCGCACACCCTAATTTACAAACAAACAAAACCCAAAAAAAGGGAAAGTCTTCCCCATTCTTTGTTGATTTTTAAAAAAACCTTTTGGGCTCAATTTGGATGAGGGGGTGCTAACAAATTGAGGAAATTTTGGGGTTTGGGGGGAAAAAATACAACATTTTAAAAAACCCTGTACAAACCCAACCCAAATGGGGCTTAAATTTGGCAAAAAAAAACACCTTTTTTTCCACCAAAACCGTGGGGGGAGACAGGGATGCATTTTAAAGCCCCCCCCCCTCCCTTTAACATATAATCAACGATTTTTGGGGGGGCACTAAACAGTCCCGCACCCCCGGCCTCACCCTACTAGAAACTGAATTTAAAAGTCTACTGTTTTTTCTGATGATCTGGGGCTTTTTGTCCCCCTCCAAGGAGGGCCCAAACACCCCTAATTTTTTCTCACAATTTTGTCGACCTGGGCCCTGACATAAATCCCGTAAGACTAAAAAAAATGGTGTTTTCCCAAAAAGGGGCCTTTTTCCGGACCACAAAAACAAATTTTCCCTCTAACACGGGTTTCCCTAACACCAAAAAAACTATCCCAAAACCAACCCGGCCCCAAAAATTTAGGGCCCCCAGGGAATTCCACAAAGCTGTGGAAAGATCTGAGAAAAAAAGGGGAAAAGGCCCTTCTATGCCATCAAAAGGAAAATAAAATTTTTGGAAAAAAAATTTCCAACCATTTTAGGATCTGGCTAAAAATACTTTAAACGTTATAGAAACCCTTGCCCTTTAGGGGTTTGAGGTCCTTTGGGGGCCCGCCCCACCCAAACCCAAAAATTTTTACAAAAGGGACAAACCCCCAAAATTTGGGAACTCCGCTGCAGGGAAATTTTGCCAAAAAAATCCTCTGTGGGAAAAAGTAAAAACAAAACCAAAAATAAGGGCCAATTTAAGGGGGCCCTAATTTTCCCCCCCAAAACCCCCCTAATTAAAACAAAATCCCCCGAAAAAAGGGCCCTTTAAAAATTTTTAAAAAACCACTTAAAAGGAAAACAATTCCCAAACCTTCCATAAAAAAGCCATCAAACCAAAAAAGAATGAAAATTGGGGGAAAAGTCCCCCCCCTAGTAGCTTTTGGGCCCGGGGGTCTCTCACAAACACAAAACCCAAAAAGAGTCCCCAGGAAACAAACCCCCAAAACCCACAATTAGGAAAACCCAAACCCAAAAAACATGAGAAAAGAAAAAAAAAAAATTACTTGACCCCATTGGAAAGAACAAAAAAAAAAACAACAAACTAGAATGCTATTTGGGGGCCCTCCCCGAGAGTACACTGGAGAAACCTGACCCATGGGGACTGACCCCAAAATTAAGGAAAGCTTTGGAAATATTGGGACCAAACCGTGAGCATGCCTTTCTTTGAAAAAGGCCCTAGGGGAAAAAACCCCCGGCTCTCCCAAAAGAAACAGGCTATTTGCACCCCTGCCCCCCAAAAAGAGGGGAAACTTAGTTCCCTTCCTAACCTCCCCCCCGGGGCCAAAAGTAAAGAAACATATTAAGACCCATATTTTTTCCCCCGATTACACCCAAAAACCACACAAATAATTAAAAAAAACCAAACCCCCCTTTTTAAATTTCCCCATTTATAAAAAAACCCATGTCCTACCCCTTTTAAATTTGGTGCCCCCCATTTCACCCGAAAAGGGGCCCGTAAAAACCACCTTTTCCCCCCTTTTATTTTAAAATTTCCCTGGTCTTACTTTTTCCCCCCAAAATTTTTTCCCCCAAAACTGAAATTTAAACCCTTTTACCGGGAAAAAACCCAAGTAAGCAACCCATTTTAAAAAAATTTTTTATGTTTATTTTTTTTTAAAATTTTATTTCAAATTTTTGTTTACAAAAAACTTAATATTATACTTTTAAAATTTAAAAAAACTTTGGGCTTTTGGGAAAATTCAGTTCCCCGGTTTTTTGTTAATTTAAATTGAATTTTCCATTTAAAAAAATTTTTTTTCCATTATTTTTTCCTTTGCTTTTGGGTTGGGTTCCCGTTTCCCCCCCCTGCCTGGGGCCCCCCGGGGTTTTTGGGGGTTTTGGGCCCCCCTTTTTTTTTTTGGGTTGGGGTTTGAAATTGCCCCCCTTCCCTCTCTCCCCTTGTGCGCCCCTTTTTTTTTTTATCCCCCTTTCCTTTCATAATTTTAAAACCTCGGGTATCCCATAACACCTCTCCTCCCCCTTGGCTATCCCCCCCGGTTTTTAAATTCCTCATCTCTCTCCCCTTTTTCCCCCTCTTTTTTCCCTTTAGAAGGAGGGGGAAAATGAAACCCGAGTTCCCAAAATTTGAGCCCATCAGCGGTTTTGGGGATTAAATTTTTTATTAAGGTTTGAACTGGGGTTTTTTTTTCCCAATTTAAATTTTTGTGTTTTTTTTTTAATTTTTTTTAATTTTTTGGGTTTTTTAATAAACCCGCCCCCAAATTTGACCCCTTCTAAAGGTGGTTAAAAAAAAAACCTTAAATTCTTAAAACCCGAAATTTTTTTTTTTTATGACTTGTTTTTTCTTTCTGCTTTAAAAAGGATTTAATATTTTTGATTTGTATTTTAAAAAGAATTTTCCCCTCATTCCCTTCGGGGCCCCATCTTAAAAAACCCCTTTGGCCTAAGTAATACCCTCACCGGTTAAATAAAGTTTAAATTTTTCCCTTTTTCCAAACCAAATTTAACTTCTTACTAACCTTGAACCTTTTTCATAAAGCCATCATCCCGTCATTTTGCTTACATCCGAAAATTTACCCGTCATCCTGTTACAAAAAAGCCCCAAACCCCATTTATCTCTGCTTTCAAAACCCCAAAAAATTTAAAACCATTTCACCCATATCTCTGCTTCATAAAGCCCCCCCCCCCAACCCCCCTCTGGGCCCCTTTTGCTTACTAAAGCCCTCTATCCCGTCAAACCGGGGTTTCTAAGCCATCTATCCCGTCATCTCTGCTTACATAAAACCCTTTACCCCTCAAACTCTGCTTAATAAAAACCACTATCCCCTCATCTCTGCTTACTAAACCCTTTTACCCGTCCTCTCTGCTTTCCCTAAAGCCATCTACCCATTCCCCTCTCTGCTTTTCAAAGATTCAGCCCAAACCCCCTCTGCTTACATAAAGCCCCTCTTACCCAGTCATCCGCCCTTACATAAAACCATTTAACCCCGTCTCTCTGCTTACATGGGCCTCTCTATCACCCAGTCATCCGCTTTCATAAAGCCATCTACCCAGTCATTCTCTTCTCAAAAGCCAAACTTCCCGTCACTTTTGCTTACAAAAACCATCTACCCCGTCATCTCTGCTTTCTAAAGCCAATTTTAGCCCCCGTCATCTCTGCTTACATAAAGCCATCTATCCCAGTCATCTCTGCTTACATAAAGCCATCTAGCCCAGTCATCTCTGCTTACATAAAGCCATCTATCCCAGTCATCTCTGCTTACATAAAGCCATCTATCCCAGTCATCTCTGCTTACATAAAGCATCTATCCCAGTCATCTCGCTTACATAAAGCCATTAGCCCATCATCTCTGCTTACATAAAGCCATCTATCCCAGTCATTCTGCTTAATAAAGCCATCTATCCCAGTCAATTTTCTGCTTACATAAGCCATCTATCCCAGTCATCTCTGCTTACATAAAGCCATCTATTCCAGTCATCTCTGCTTACATAAAGCCATTCATTCCAGTCATCTCTGCTTACATAAAGCCATCTAGCCCAGTCATCTCTGCTTACATAAAGCCATCTATCCCAGTCATCTCTGCTTACATAAAGCCATCTATCCCAGTCATCTCTGCTTACATAAAGCCATCTATCCCAGTCATCTCTGCTTACATAACCATCTATCCAGTCATCTCTGCTTACATCAGCCATCTATCCCAGTCATCTCTGCTTACATAAGCATCTAGCCCAGTCATCCTGCTTACATAAAGCCATTAGCCAAGTCATCTCTGCTTACATAAAGCCATCTATCCCATCATCTCTGTTTACATAAAGCCATTCAGCCCAGTCATCTCTGCTTACATAAAGCCATTCAGCCCAGTCATCTCTGCTTACATAAAGCCATCTAGCCCAGTCATCTCTGCTTATAAACCATTCAGCCCAGTCATCTCTGCTTACATAAGCCTTATCCAGTCATTCTGCAATAACGCCATCTATCCCAGTCATCCTCTTACATAAAGCCATTCATTCCAGTCATCTCTGCTTACATAAAGCCATTATCCCATATTTTCTATAAGCCATCTTCCCAGTCATCCTGACTAAACTAAGCCCAGTATCTCTGCTTACATAAAGCCATCTATCCCAGTCATCTCTGCTTACATAAAGCCATCTATCCAGTCATCTCTGCTTACATAAAGCCATCTAGCCCAGTCATCTCTGCTTACATAAAGCCATTCATCCCAGTCATCTCTGCTTACATAAAGCCATTCATTCCAAAGTCATCTCTCTTACATAAAGCCATCTATCCCAGTCACTCTGCTTACATAAAGCCATTCATTCCATCCATCTCTGCTTACATAAAGCCATCTAGCCCAGTCTCTCTGCGTACATAAACCCCTCTATCCCAGTCATCTCTGCTTACATAAAGCCTTCCGCCCGTCATCTCTGCTTACATAAAGCCATTCATTCATCATCCCCTGCTTACATAAAGCCATCTAGCCCAGTCATCTCTGCTTACAAAAGCCATTCATTCCAGTCATCTCTGCTTACATAAAGCCATTCAGCCCAGACTTGCTATAACACCACACAGGCATTCTTGACTGTAATATTATTCATACTTTATTCAAACTTTTGACTTTAAGCGTCTTCCACAAATAAACACTTCCTCCAAGTAGGAATTAAAAGTAGCCAAAATAAAAAAGCCATGCCTATGAAAATGAACATCAGATGTCTTAATCATTGTTTTACGAGCTCTGGGACCTGAAATGCGCCCGTGGGGAGGTCGGCCAGTGGAATCGCAATTGGCTGCATTTTTAAGAGGGGCGAGGGGGCAGTGTAGCGTTTAACTGCGTTCGACCACAGAAACCCGACAAAACGACTACTCAGTGCTCAGTTCAGCAGAAGCCATGGAGAAATACCCCCCAACCTGCCCTGTCCAGATTGAAGCCTGTGTCATTTCCAGTCCCTGCTGGTGGTGTAACGCTGCCATGCCGTCCCAAAGACCCTGGGGACAGAATTCAACTGAGACTTTACTTTCAGTCAGCGAGCAGACAATCACACTCACATCTAAGCTGTGTCACACCATGCTCAACCACAAGAATACATTAGACGTTTTATTGCTGCTTCCCAAATGGCCCCATATTCCCTTTGTAGTGCACTACTTTTGACAAGGGCCCATAGGGCTATGCCTTCCGCGACTGCTTGTGAGAACTCCTATGTCTACACTTGCGTGACGCTGACTGAGACAGAGCTGCTTTACTCAATACTCATGACAGTGGTTTCCCCAGGTGTTAAACACCAGCTCAGCTCAGCACAGTAGGGTGAAAGTGTGTTGTCATGTATCCCGCACGTTTTTTGGGGAGTTTCGATGTTTCTGCTTGAGGGTACCTCCCCCTACTCAAGGGAATCAGTATCAGGTGTGGGTCCTTTACCTGGCATGACGGTCCTGTCGCAGGCCACACACTTGGAGGAGAACTCGTTGCAGTAGCAGTCGTTGCACAGCAGCGCCTCCTCCTGGCTGGTGAAGGGCTCGTCCGCCAGCGAGCGGTCACAGCGGAAACAACGGAAACAGTGTTGGTGGTAGTGCCGGTCCTCGTAGAACAGCTCCTGGAGAGGGAGAGAGGTGATGGGTCAAGGCAGGGACAGGGTAATGCTGAGTTCATAACCAAGTGGGTATTTAACAGATACGACTGGGACAAATCCACCTGCACGTCCCTCCAACTGGTTATTACTGGTGGGAAACTCGTCTATCATCTCTGAGCTCCAACTTCTCGCACATGCTGACCTCTGACATCACCCACTAAGGAAATGACCTCGATAACAGCATTTTCGGCAGTTAAATGCAACAAAAAAAAAACATTATTTATAAAAAGCAAACTATTCATATGTTTTTTAACATTATAATTTGTTTACAACCATGATAGCTGTACATTTAGTTTATCGTTGATGCATCTTGTTGGCCATTAGCCTATCGGCGTTTCTCAACGAGTTCAAAGCATGTGAATGCATCCAACTGGCATTTATGACTTTACAACTGGTAATTACCACCTTCCCACTTGGTTATGAACACAGCATTAGAGTCTGGGAAAATTGGGATTGAAAGATCACATTAGCTGTGGCTGGTGGGCAGGAGATATCGGAGGTCGGGCTCATTGTAATAGCTGGAATGGAATAAGTGGAAAGGTATCAAACGCATGGTAACGCATGGTAACGCATGGTAACGCATGGTAACGCATGGTAACCATTTTGATGTGTTCCATACCTTTCCATTCCTTCCATTCCATTACAATGAGCCCGTCCTTCTATATCTCCGCCCACCAGCCTCCTCTGATTCACATTAATCATTTATGTTAATCTGACAATGAGCTAGATTAGATCTGTTAATAAGGAGGTTTTACGGAATAACTCTAACTTCAATATAAACCATTTGAGTAAATATTGAAACAGTGCCCCTAACTGCTTATGTTCCAGGTCAACCGTAGTGCAAGCAAACACTGTTAACACACATCGCATGATTAATGTCTCACATTATGTTCTGGGTGGAAACTATATATAATAATCCATTAGATCTAACACGTGCGTGGGTTTTTACAGAACCAGTACAGGGAATGGGACAGAGAAGGATGAGGGCTGTGAGTTTTGTGAGGAGGAGGAGAAGGGCCAAAGCTAACAGAACTTTGATTTCCTGCTAGTCCCTCCAAAGGGAGTCCATAACTCAGGGGTTACCCTTGCCCCGTGGCGCCTAAGGGTTTTCCCTTCAGCCCTGTGTTTTAATGTCTGGCTGGAGGAGCTCAAAGGGGATTTGCAGACATCTTCGTATTCGACAAAGTGCAGGAAAGTTATGTTTTCCAAAAACATTAGGTCCTGTTCTTTATTCTCAATAACATTACATTACATCCAGTTTTTTGACGGTTGTGAATAACCTTGTTTGTATTTTATTTGAATTGTTCCAAAATCTATTCTTTAGAAGCCACTATAGACGAACACATGGACAAGGACAAATACACACACATACACACATACACACACACACAACACACACACACATACACACATACATACACACACACACACACAGAAGTGAAAACCTCAGAAGAGACTGCACATAGACAGAAGTGTAGGCAGAAAACAGAAAACACCCACTAGCCACAAGTAAACACACACACACACACACACACACACACACACACACACACACACACACACACACACACACCACACACACATATATGCTTAACTCAGACCATAGGCCCTTGCATATGCTTACCCGTGCGTTGTGTGCGATGAGCTCCTTGCACTCCTGACATGTGTTGGCATACAGGCGGTCATAGCAGGGGATGCAGTGGGGAACGTCCTCCACCTGGATGTATTTGCGTCCGTACAGGGACTCCTTGCACTCGCCACCAGTCGGAACGGTCACTCATTTTGTCTATCCCCGATTCACCTCCTGAAAAAAGGAAAAAAAAAACATCACACCACAGTGAAGGGGCGTTAGGCTGAGGAAGGCGGAGAGGACAGTGACAGCACTGTGAACATAGTGAGGAGGGGGGATGAGTTAGAGAGATAGAGAGAGAGAGAGGAGAGAGAGAGAGATAGAGAGAGAGAGAGAGCGAGAGAGACACAGAGAGACAGATAGAGAGAAAGAGCAGAGAGAGAGAGAGAGAGAGAGAATAGGAGAGAGGATATATATACAACAGATATATCATTAAGATATTATATGTCTATATATGATATATATATATATATATATCTATTATATACACATATATAATACACATCTATACACATTATGATATATATATAACACATTATATTATATATATATATATATATATATATATATATATCGTATATATATATATATACAGATACAAAAACAGAAATAGTACTAGACCTATAATTTATACATATTATCATATTTTCATAATATATAAAGCCGATTACATATATATCTATATATATATTACTAAATAAAGATATATATATGATTATATATTAAAGATATATATATTCATATTTCTATATAATATATATCTATATTTTACATATATAATATATTTTCATGATATATATATCTATATTTTATACAACATATATATATATAAAATAGATTTATATATATATAGATGCTCTCATCCTACTCTCTCTTCTCTCTCTCTCTCTCTCTCCTTCGCTCTATCTCTTCTCTCTCTCTCTCTATCTTCTCTTCTCTCTTTCTCCCCTCTTCTCTTTCTCTCTTATCATACCCTCTCTCTACTTCTATCTCAATAGTTATTTATATATCTATACTTTAACACCTATATCTCCTTTTCATAGCTATATATATAACTCCTCATCTATCTACTCTCATATATACCCTATATATCTCTATTTAGCCATATATTATATTTTTTATGATATACATACAATCTATACCATATAGATCTTTATATCTCTAATATAATATATATTAAATCTATTACATATAGATCTATATAATAGCAATATCTTTTACTCATCTACTCTAGTATCTATATATATGATCTATATTGATTGAGTAGCAGATCCACACAGTGGAACTTAATTCCTATTAACCTTTTATTCTCTCTTCTTAGATGACAACGAAATAGAGAATAGTAGGCTTTTAATATGTTTATAAATGGGAATTGCTGTCACATAAAACCACACATCTGTAATGTTTGTTTTGTTATCATTAAGAAACCCATTTGGATCTGTGATTAACAGGAACCCTGAGAACATGAAAACAGATGATGAGAGAGAGAGAGAGAGAGAGAGAGACATTCCCATGCAAAAACTAGAAACTAGAAATGTAGTTTCTGGAAGTGTTCAAGGAGATCTATTCTACGGAACACACTTTTATCCACGGAGAACGAGAAGAGGCTGAGTATCATCTTTCATAAAAGAGTTATGACCAATACCAAAGTAAACCAGTAAAGTAATGATATGGTTTCCTCTTTTACGTCATAGCTCCTCTGGAGAAAATGCTCAACATGCTTTTCTCTCCTCTTCTTATTGTAAGAAAAGCCCCTATGGCAGTTTGGCACTGAGAAAAAAACACTAAATAATATGAATGGTAGTGTGCTGTGCTGGTACAGGTTCGTCCATTTCAAAGGGTTGCTGGAGAGGGTACTGTTGTACAACACTATGGATAGGATGGGATGAACTTTAATGTCCCTGAGTGGAAGGTCGTCTTAGACACACATTACTGCTGTATACAAAAATAGACACTGTACATTACACACTCAACATGATACACAGATGGCACGTTACCCACGTCATACATATTGTACACGTCTTGTACAACCAAATACATCATCCATATTGCACACTGACCTTACAGTGTGGGGGAAGGAGTGAACGGGAAGGAGGGGGAAGGAGTGAACGGGAAGGAGGGGGAAGGAGTGAACGGGAAGGAGGGGGAAGGAGTGAACGGGAAGGAGGGGGTGGAAATAAGCCTGACATCTCTTACTATACTGAGACAATCACAACACCCTCCGGCTATTTCTCAAGTCTGTAGGGAGCTGCTAGAATATGTGACCCCAGGTCAGATACATGGGAAACCGGCTGGGAAACGGAGTATGGGATTGGGTCTGTAGCTTTTCCTATGGAATGGGAAGGGTAGATAGGGTCCATCAGGATCCATATTGGCTACATCCCAAATGCACCACATTCCCCTTTATAGTGCACTATAGTGCCCTGATCAAAAGTAGTTCACTGCAGGAATTACATGACCGCCAGAAGGTCTCAAGAGTTTAGGTATCACCGGCTCAAGAAAACAATGTCAGGAACATGGCATGGACAGAGACTAAAAGCAGACACAAATGTTTCTCTTGGAAGCCGTTTTGTTTAGAATATTTCCCCTCTTTTTGGGGGCAAAGAATACCCTTGAAATGCTTTCAGAATGTCAAAAAAAAAGTGTGGAGCGAGGAGGAGGAGGGTTACGAGCTGAGAAACAGACGGAGGGTTTTAAAGGGGGACTGAAGTGAAGGATCTGGGGGGTGAAGGGCTCAGCAGCTCCCACGAAGCAGACAGAGCTGACGCCACCGCCTCACAGGCTCCATGTCAAAGTGGTGACGAACCCAGGAACAGGCCACGTCCCAAATGGCACCCTATTTCCTATATAGTTCACTAATTTTTAATCAGGGCCCATAGGGCTGTGGTCAAAAGTAGTGCACTATGTAGGGAATAGGATGCCATTTGAGACGCAACCACTGGTGCTCCTAATGAAGCCGACTTCATTTCTTGGAAATGCATTTGCACACACAGGGTTGGCTTGATATAGAACAGGGGGGGAAAGAGTCAACCATTGCTCATGAAAGGAATTCCATCCCACAGTTGATGTTTTGTTTTCCAGGTATTGAGGTAAATGTACTGGAACCCACAAGTTATTTGCATCTGGTCCATTAAGCAGTCGGCTCGGCAGTGAGTGGGATCTACTTTCCACTATATTTTCCATTATGAGCCCCTGTTAAAACACGATGGCAAGAACACAAGAACAACTCCTGCTTTATCTACCTTATTTATCTATTTTGTTTATAATCAAGCAACTGAAACTTGGCTGAGTAGCCCCCCACAAAATGGCATAGCAGCAGAGCGTTTGGAATGGGAACATTCAGCCATGTCCTTATCCCCCATGAGCTAGACTGGATCAGCCTGAAGAAGGTTGAGGCTTCACAAGGTCAAAGACACATGGAAGGAACACGAAACAGACACAACTCCATCACACTTCATGTCTGTTTCATGTCTGTTTATTGTCAGAGTAGTGGAAATCAGCTTGACTTCCTCAGCTAATGTCTCTCCATCCATACCTAGAACCACCACTGCACTGATACAACAATGGCCATTCTCCCAGACATAGTACCTCATTCTACAGCTCTCTGAGGCAGCATGACATCTGCAAATACATTATTTGTACTCTAGCTGTTACTTTCTACGAAAGTGATACTTAAAAAAATATATATGAATATGTCCAAAATACAAACCACCCCCTTTCTGTTGGATTATTTATATATTTTGAGTCTACCCACCCACGGACAATTTCTTCCATTTCTAACTTTGTTTAATTCAGTTTCAGCTCATTTATTCAATGTCCAGACCATTCTGTTATAGTAATAGCTACTGTCCTACAAAGAGTTCTTCCCAAACCTTATGTCCTTTCCAGCTGTGGGGGAGATGACTGACCCTGAATGAGCCACGTCAGCATAGACACACTCCCTCAGTGGTTCATCATCATTGTGACTGGTGGTCGAATTACACATGAACGTGACCTGGGTATAGAAACGGTTTAGAGGGAATGCCTCAAAGATATATAGAGAAGAATCAGGAGAATTTCCTGAACAGCACACACACACAGACACACACTCACACACACACACAGACACACACTCACACACACACACAGACACACACACACACCACACACACACAGACACACACACACACACACACACACACACACACACACAGACACACACACACACACACACACACACACACACACACACACACACTCACACTCACACACACACACACACACACACACAGACTAAATATGTTGGCTTGCATATTTGTTTCCAGCCACAAAAGGGTTGAACACATCCTTCTACAGGAGTCTTTCTTCCCTCTAACCTGTGTCTCTGCGTTGCACTCCTAGTGAGACGTTAAGTCAAACAGAAAGCCATCAGTGGCAGACGTGTTTTTCTCTCCTAGCACAATGCTGTTATAACTCTGCATTTCACACTGGCCAGCGGACACATGGGCATTCTTCAGTGATATATTGGTAACGCTGGCTGGTGAAAGATGAATCGGAATCATCGACTCTGAAGGCTTTGTACTGTGTGCCAGACAGCAAAACTCTCTCTCTCTTCGTCTCCGACATGGCCCAACGACATACCAGGCCTCCTCTCCCTGTCTCCCACATGGCCCAACGACATACCAGGCCTCCTCTCCCTGTCTCCGACATGGCCCAACGCCAGACCAGGCCTCCTCTCCCTGTCTCCGACATGGCCCAACGACAGACCAAGCCTCCTCTCCCTGTCTCCCCCTGCCCAATGTCCAGACCAAGCCCACGCCATCGCTCCCACATGCCCTACGCCAACCAGCCTCCTCACCTGACCAGGCCCACCCACGACCAGACATCCTCCCAGCACCGCCCTGCCCCGATCCCACAGGCCCCTCTCCGTCTCCGCATGCCCACACACAGCCAAGCCCCCACTGTCTCCCCATGCCCATCCCAAGCCTCCTAACTCTTTTCCTACTGACCTACTCTCTTCAGAGGCGAGCTCCGTACTGATATGAGCCACAGATAGATCGCAGGCCTCTCCTGCCATACAGGTCCCACATCCGTGCCAATTGTCCTGTCTCCACATGCAACGCAGACAGGCCTCCTCTCCTGATTTCCCAGGGATGGCAACCTCGCCAGGCT